GATATATTCTAATGATGAGCATTAAATAGTAAGCCAAAACTTTATCTCCCTGATTTAACTATATGATGCTCTAACTACAGTTAGTGAAATATAATATACCGTTGACCTGGATATTAGTCTTCAATATCACATTAACCGTACGTGGGGGGTGTAAGTTAAGGAGACCCATGAAAAAATTGAAAAACACGATAATAAACATGTTTCTAATTCAACAAGAGGATGTTGTTAATAGTCTAAAGAATTTCATTGACGAAATTCAATGAAACCAAAGTAGCGACACAATTCTCAATTAAAAAAAAGTAATTTGTAATGGTTTTTTCTATTAAATGCATGGATGGTTACTGTACGTCCCGTGTTTAAGACTTGAATCAAGTGAAAAAGTCTGAATTGTAAATTTAAAATGTACGTGTGTTATTGTGATTTTGCGCGAACGTCAATTTTTATGTCGAATGATGTAAGAGAGATATAAAAAATAGTATTAACGGACGTGACAAAATCGTATATGAAGATAGAAAGAGAAAAAACCTCTCGCGTTTGAAAGTCTGGCATCCAAATTGGTTTGGCGCTATCTTTCCAATAATCTATTCTCGTATACGGACGTCGCTAAATGTATATTTGTGAAAAAACGCAAGTTGTGAATACAAGCCGGTAAATGACGACGTGTTCTTGACGGCTCTGAGTCTCGTACAATGTTTATTAGAATAAAGTAGCATCGAGAATGGAAAATTTAAAGAGTTAGCGAATGCATTATTTTAAACCAGAATTCCTTTGATGGTTTATTAACATGACTTTGTAGCTGAATTGGTGCATACGAAATATATGTACACATCATAAGGCTTTTAACTTTTGCTATGTTGGAGATATTTCGTAAAATAGAGCACATTCTGTACTTGTTCCTTCCCACCCTCTATTTCCAGAGGCGGTAATCATGTAACGACAGCTCGTGTCAATCACTGTCAATGTTAGTTGAGTTAAAGACAATGCCAATCCCCCAATCGTGTAATCCATGCTACATACTCGTTACATTGAAGGATACAAATCTGTGAGATTATTCCGCCATGATGCCCGGGAACAATAAGGAAAGGAACAGCCGTGCCAAAAAGTTCTGCTTCATCCGTGGATACGTTCAATAGGCGTATGTTATCTGTGGATGAGCTGTTTGTATGGAATTATTAGAACGACTCATTCGATAACATTAAACCATCAGGGTCAGGTCACATACCATATTATATGCTTTCCATTGGGCATGCCGCTCACGCACGACACTGGCCCAGAATTGGACGGCATTCGAAAAATCCTCATGCATTTTCCACTTGCAAAATCCCACTCGTCAACTCCAGTTATAGGAAATGTCAATAAAAATTGAATGCCAATGATGGTAAAAAAAAAAGGTATAATCCATCATTCGCAGGCATTTGTCTCTCCTTACCTGTACCGTTACGACGACCACAATATATTTTACTTCCATCAGCGCTCCAACAGGCCTTGATAGTAACAGTGCCAGTCACACTATTTAATAAATCGCTTCACCATCAATTCACTTTCAAACCCCCACTATTGACCAATTCACAAGACACTCACCGATAAAGTCCATGGAGGTGTACGTTCGGGTGGATGCAATTTCCGCGGTATAGGTTCTCGCGCCCTTTTATCCCATAGAAAACAGTTTCCATCAATACTGGTTGTCATTAATATATTATTTGAATGAATAATTGTATCTTGATCATTAGGTAATTCTGGTACTATGAGGGAGTTTTCGTTTGACAAAGGCCGAGGTGATGGAATGACAAGTGGTCGAAAAGAGATTGAACTGATTTGCGAATTATGGCCTGCGAATTCACGCACTACTTGGCCTGTATTCAGATCCCAATGCTTTGGCATAAGAAGGATAAATGAAATTTGTTACGACTTTTGCATTAAATCTTGGACGAAAATATCAAGTTCAAATACAATAATTTATCTTACCAGCACAGTTTTATCCCATGATCCACTAACACAACCACGCTCGTCTTGTGTGATTTTTAATACAGAGACTGGGCGTCTGTGCTGTCGTAATACGTGATGGCAGCGCCCTTCTTCATGTCTTATAGTATACAAATTGATGCAACCACTCTATTATTGCAGGATGGCAATCATTGGTGTTTGTTCTTATTAGCAATTGGCAAGATAACGTAATGAATATAATCAAAAACATGCCTCTAAACCACTAAGCAGCCATACTGCTTCAGATTGTACAGCTAAACTGTAAACAGGTGATAATTTTGGTTCCGTATTCAACGGAACCGAAGGCGGCGCCGAAGATGGCGGTAATGGAGAGGGTTGTGACGTTTCTGATTGGTTAACTCTATCATCATTTGTTCCATTCTGACCCTGGCTCTGATTTTCTGAAAGTTGAGAAAATAATAGAAATTAGACAATCATTTCTCGTTATATCCTACACAGCAATACTCGAAGAGTACCTGAAACACCATTTGTTACTGGTGTCGGCGGAGCTGTTGGCAATGGTTGTTCTTCGTTCTCCCAATAAGAAAGAATTACTCCAGCCTACATAACGCCTTGTTCTATCAATTTTTACCTATATCACGTTATATACATTGTTCTATTCCTGGAACAATCCTCCATTGAGATTACTTACCTCACCTTTTGGACAGATTCAACGTGTGAATGCCTTTGATTCTGGGTCAATATTTGTTTCCCGTTTAAAGAGGAGAAAAAGTCATACTTTCTAATAAATCCATCGTCACCACCACTGAATATCCATCGCATGTTTTTGGTTGCATCAATTGCATACACATGGCATCCATGAACGGCAGCAACCTAACAGAAAGACAAGTCATTAATTAGATAGACTGTAGATCAGAACAAATGCTATCTATCAAGTATCGAACTTACGTATGGCACAATGTCATAATTGCTGCATTCAGCAACAAACGGCTGGAGAGCACGAGTTGCGTGGCTTGTGTTTAAATTCGTACCGGGTATTAACGAACTTGGGGTAATATCGTCTATACCAAACGTTTCTTGTGATCAAGACCAAATACAGATTCAAATTAAGATTGAGATGCAATTCAAATGTAACTTGAATCCTCTAATGCTCGATTCGCCTACAAAGCATCCTCGATGCATGCATAGTAATATCTACATACCTTCAGTCTCGGAAACTTGATCACGGCTTTCCGAGTCAGTTGACGGTGACAAGTCTCTGGTGTCGTATTCATCTTCACTATCTCCATCCATCATGTATTGATATTATCCAATTGGCAAGAATACTGCAGATGGAACTCTGTTTTAAGACACAATAGCCCTATTCTCATATGACAGCATATATAAAAATAGTAAATATATATAGTTTCAAAGAAAAAACTATACAGTCAGTATGTCTGTCATAGGGGCTACAAATTTACGCCACAGAAAATTCAGGGGTGGCCCGAACTGTCGAGCGCCACAGATTTGTCCCTTGAAATTTTGAGGGCATGTAATAAACTAGGAATAGTGAAAAGAATGTGATTAAAAGAAGAATTGTCCGATTGTAAAGGCTACTACGAACGCACCTTATGCCATAGCATTAATGCATGGTATGAATAATTGGATTCATTCTCGAGACATAATGAAAATTAAAATTATACCAAAGTTGGGATTCTGATTTTCTTAACGTTGAGTTCGGTTCGCCAATAATAACAATAACAATAACAATAATCTCGGCTTATGACATACTAATACCAATACCATGGTTTTCGCGGGCTTTATTGTATTACTACCATGCATTAACCATGCTAGTGCTAGAAACTAGAACAAAAAAATGTTGAAACTGTGTGGCGACGATCATCCAATCACAAAATCCCAGTATAAAAATTTATTCAATATTTTTTTCTTTTGCGCCTTTTACGTATTAGCATAAACAAAATGGTGGATAAAAGTCAAGAGGAAAAGAACAAAAGCGTTGAACCGTTCAAGACATCTGGAGAATTACGGGAATTCATAGGATCAACTAACATCGAGACTATATATCAAGGTGCACTGTGGACGCATTGGAATGTAATGCCATTTGATGCCAAAATATCTGATTAGACTTTGAATAGCAATAATAACAGTTCACGTGAATTGCTTGTTATAAGGAATTCTTAGGTTCCGTCAGTTACTTTATATTCCGCCATCAACCGAGCAAACTGCCAATGCATCTATTGAAAACAAATTGAAAATATTTCGAGAGTATCTCCAAACATCCCCCGAATGCTCTGATCTATTTCGTATATGGGATCTCCAACAAAAAGTATGCCTTCGAGTTTGTATGTATTTTCTCCAGTAAAGTCATTGACGTATTCTTGATAAATAACATTCAATGTACCAAAAAAACAGCACAATATCACCAAGATAGAAGTGTTGATCGTCGACCTTTTATCAAAAGTAATCAATAGTACGAACATTGCAGCAACGCGTGCGTCGGGAAATTCGATCATAAAGCGAATACTGACAAATTACATGAAGATTATATATCGTAATCTCAATGGAAGAATACCGCTGTGTCAGGCAACGTTGAAAATGTTGGTCGCGATGAATTCGCATTCTTTAGCCATGACACGCGAACTAACCGAGACCTTTCATTTTGGGCACAAGGTCAGTAAAATGCGTTACAGTGCAAAGGCACCATCTTATAATTTTATGCTAACAAGCATCTATTTGAAATATTAGTCTTTGGGAAGACTATTAAACATTAGATTGGAGCGGGAAGACGGGAAACCTAGAAACAGAATAGGTTAGTCATTACTTTTCATTTATTCTATCGAGGTGAAACATTATTCTAAATATTCTACCATTTCCACAGACGTTCGTACGCTGTATGTTCGATTTGTATTGTCGTTCTTAATATATGGAGATGCGAAAGTCAAAAAAACCGTTCTTGAATTAAGAAATTTTGTTGGATCTATCCTTAAAGGATTACCTCAAGACACTTATGAGGCAAGCACATATAACGATTACACCTTGCAGTTCCTTTACGGATACCGACTAACGTGTATGACGATCTAGTTTGTTGACGAAGTGTTACGAACAATATACGATCGCGTAATATTAGAAACTGACCTTGATAGAAAGACGAAAATCAACTTTTTTACTGGCTCGGTCTTGGAACATGTAACTTATACTTACTTTAATGTATATAATCTAATATTTATATAAATTGTATTGTGCCATTAACTCGATCGAAATTTTTCCGTTGTTCCATATCACAGCTCCTCCGGCTTTTTGCATGCCGCGATTCTGCTCCTTCGGATCCATCACATTGCATTGCTGATTTAGTTCATAACTTTCTGCTGTCATTATGTTGTACGCCTGGAGTTGGCATCTGCTTTCAAGATTTGGGATGGTATCCTCATGGCACTGTGGCGACTCGGACGATTGATGACGAAAAAGGAAAGAGCGCAAAAGTTTATAATATTGTGCTATCAAAGTTTATAACAAAATTGAAGCCAATTGAGGATTTGAGGCAGCAAGACTTGTTGTTAAGGATATTGGAAGCTTGCCCGGAGTTGGTTCATGTGTAAGTAAATAATGTTCTTTGGATAGAAAATTATAAATAATTCATAAGATATTGATTTAAATTTCATATATCCGCTCAGGTTTTGGCAATCCACAAAACTTGCTTTCGAGCCACGTCTTTCTTTCACTTGGCTTAGTACCATGTCCTTACTTCAAAAAATAGTTCTTCTCCCTATTCCTTCTCTCAAATTACCGAATGCACGGACATATCTACCAAATCCACCACCTTGCAGTACAATTATTGAAAGCATTTTGCCATCAGCTGTAAATCGCATAGCAATCAGCAAAGGCCTGCAACATAGCAGTCTTCTCGTAAGGTTCACAACTGCCATTTCTCTTGGATTTTCGTTTCAAAAGCTTGACAACATAACTCTTCGGTTCGGAGAGATTGCCGCAAGCATAGAAATCATCGATCCTGTAAATGCGAAAAGATGGAACGATATACCCAATTCCATGGCAGAAGAAATGAGAAGACGCGTGCCTGATGTTCAGGTACTGTTAAAGCTACATCATGATATTCTAGCTGCTGAGAATCTACAAAAGGGACCAGACGATGAAGAAACGATGAGGAATAAGTTTATGCGTGAGGCAGTGCTACGATTAATCAAGTTTTATCAAAAGTATATGCCAGACTCGCTGTTTCAGTCCAAGTTTGATATCGGCAGATTAATTCCCGCAGATTTTAATAGAGTGGCAGTTGGCTTGGTTCTTCATTTGCTTGATTTGCTATTTGCCACTGATGGATTTCCCTGGTGGAATAAAAACGGTTACTTATTCATCTCTACTTTTTTTTATGTTTCCACCCTTGATAAGCTACTTACGTCCTTGTTTGTATACTTACTACAGAATCCGACTTTTCCCATTTAATCTCGCTCATAAATCTATACATTTCAACACCATACCCGCAGATTAAAGAGAAAACAGCAGAAGTTCTTCGATACTTTATGACCGAGCCTATTCTTTTCCAGCATGATCCAAATGAATCAGAGATATTTCTCAACACTATTCAGCAGACACTCTCCCGCAGAAAAGCAAAATCGGACAAGATCGAACTTCTCAAATTTTTAGACAGTCGCATTTTACAATATCGTAATTATCCTTACAAAGATATTGACCGAACAGTCAAGTTAGCCAAAAAAGTAAAAGACAATTTGGTAAACACGAGCACTATGGACATTGATGAGAACGAAAGCAAGGAGCTGGTAGAAATTGCAAGGCAAAAATTATCTGTTCGTTATAATATGGAAGAGGACGAGTTTGAGTATCCATTCAGTCCGTTATTAATCACTATTGTTGACTACAATCACCAGACGACAAACCCAACCTCTGTCGTTTCGGAATTTATATCAAATTTGATAAGGAATATTCGCGGGTCCGGACGTCAACGCGACAAAATTTCTGCGGGTCCATTATCGATATCTGAATTGCATAGGAAGAGGATAGTATCTGAAAATAGCATAAGCAGTTTTCTGGACACTTGGAAGACGCAGCCATCAGAAAATCTTGATAGAGTCCTGCTTCTATTCATCAAGGATCATTTACCAGAGGGTCTTGAAGATCCGACTGAAGACTTGTCGCTGACCAGTATCTTATCGGTTGAGAAAAGATTTTACGCTACAATACCTGAGGACATTAATGATGACGTCTTTTATCATCTAATTAGAAATATGAACGATACACGTACTAGCATATTACGCTTTCTGATGCTATGCAAACATCAATTTCGAAAATTGTTTGAACATTGTATCCGGAACGAACCTTTGAACCTACGTAATATGTCTACCGAGAATTTAGTTTCACTGATTGATGCTTACTTGAGCACTGTGGCCATCAGATCGAATGAACGTGCAAGGTGGTTCGAGGAGTCAGTAACTGATGATGATAGAAATGCAGTGTCTTTCATAGGGAAAATGTATGGGAAAAGACTGCTTGCAGGCATGCAGGTGTCTTTGAACTCTCAGAGCTCGTCATTAGTAACTCTTGTATTCTGTACGTTACTCGATCTGGAACCTATAGTGTTATCGAAACGAGTAACCAAAGATTTAATACATGGGGACGTACCCTCCGTATTTGGTCTAGATTACTTGACTATATGTGACCATTTCTTCAAATACTATGGTGACAGTGTGTCGGGCAAACAGCGAAAAGACTTTATCACCGCATGTTTTCATAATGTCGCTTTGTTATTAGAAAATAACGCCTTGGATTCTATGCCAATCAAGACATTTGATTTGATATTTCAGAAATTAGGTAAATCAATTTGTTCGAGTTGCTAATGGCGAATGTTGCAAGTTGATAATTTAATTGTATTTCATCTTACAGAAAGCATATTGAAAAAGGTTATACCGCTGGCGGATGTACTGGAAGCTAACACAGTTGGAGAGTTTTTATTTGTCGCTATCGACAAAAAGATTGCATTCTCGTCTGTCATAAAGTGTATAACTTCACTAATATCTACCGCGTATAGTCAACCAGTAAGTGAATAAGTTTGGTGCTTTATAATAGAAGATACCATTTTACGGCGTAGACTCCTGCATCTAATTGTTCTTTTAGTCATTCATAGGTCCGCCACAGAACAAGATCTTAGATGCTATCTTAACTCACTCCCAGTTTACCACTCTCACTTATCCGCCAATGCTTTCCTCCAAATCATCATACTTGCAAACACGTTCAATTCGTCTTGCGCTCTGTCACCTGATACATAGGCTGTACGATCTTTTTCCATCTATCTGTTACAGGCAAGCCTACCTGCCATTTCTTATCGAGATATATGGGGCAACAACAGCCGATTCGGATCGACTACTTCTTGACATCTTTATAAAGTATGAAAAAATCACCAAGGTCTCTGTAATTATGTATTTAATGACATGGGGACCTGGATCAAGCAAATTAGTAACCAAGAAAAGATTAATGGGAGAGAACGTTGTGGTTGAATCTATGGGATTGCTGGATTCGATGGCATTGATGCAGAGTTATACTCACTTTAAAATTGACGATGGGCTGGAAGTGGCAGTCGAGAATAGCTTAATCGAGGAGAGGATTGAGGAGAGTGAGGAAAGAATAAAAATGAGAACAGCACCTGCATGCGATTTGTCATTTATGTTGACTTTATTTGCTAACCTGATGTCATATGGGGGGATGATTGATTGTCGGAGATTTATTGAAGTCAATGCATTGGGATTGGTGATAGTATCGCTTTCTTCCAACCGAGACAATGTTCGTCGCGCAGCTTATTATCTATTAGACGAGTTCTACGTACTGCTCGAGGTAATTGTATAATTGAGATTATGGACAACGTTGTTTTTCATTAACGTTAAAACCAAATTTATGTATTTAGCGGGCGATATTCAGAGAGAAGAAACAGATATTACTGCTTCTTAATTCTCTTAAGAATGCAATAACTGAAAGAGAGTCGATTGAGTCTCCCCAGCGTATTCCGACAATAATCACAGTGTTTGTCGCGCATTCGTTGACTATATTTTTGAATCCGGCCCATTCCATGTATCCTCAAATAAACAAGTTTTTGCTCCAAAGACCAATTATTGACCTAGCGGTAGGAGTTGGATGAATTCTTTTGATTTTTTTTCTCCCTTTTGATTTCTAATTTATTTGACCCTTTCATTTAGGATGTGCCCATGTTCTATCAATTAATGTATAGCTCGTCATCCAATTCTCAAAAAGACAGAGTGTGGATATTAAGACTTTTGTCGGCCGGGCTGAAAAGTTTTTCGGTAACTAGTTTGCTTTTTAACTGTCACGTGGCTGGAACAGTGAAGATAACCTTTGAGTTATTTTTTCCCCAGGATTATAAGTTATTTAAACGAAGGTATGTCTGGGATATCATCAGTGGATATTATATTTCTCGAGTATCTGACAATGTAACGCGCAAGATTATAAACGAGGTAAGCAGAACAAGAGATTCTCCATATAATTTGACTCGAATTGTGTATATTGAAATCCTTGTCACATTCTGCAGATTATTTTCCAAGCCGCATCTATACCAAATGTGATTAATGATATGATAATTAAAAATGGACTCTTGGCTTGGATCCATAGCTTATGTATATCAACAACATTATCACCGGATAATCAATTCTGTTTTGTTGGCCCAAGAATACTTTTACGAGTATTACAGGGTTGCGAGAAAACAAATTCCCGTTGGCTAGAAGGCATCTGGTCCAACCAGGCTATGTGTATTGCTACGGACATGTTACATCTTCTAGGTAACTTGCTTTGAAGACACCTATTCAATTTTGTATCAATTTCGCAACTGAAATCATTTCCATTATGTAGATGGGTTTAATGTCACAACGTCAACATCCTTGTGGACGCTCAACATGCTCAAGGCTATTCTTCACGTATTTCACTATCTTACGTTAACATCGTCGCCAACTGCGCTCACGTATAATACACATCAATTTACCGTCACTTTTAGGATTCTAGAAAAGTGCGAGCTATATCTTGACCCTTGCTTAAAGGCTTTTCGTAGTGTAACAAAAGTGGCTTATCAGCATCCGTTTGCGGATGACAACTTGGATCAGTTGTACGTAATGAACGACGATGGTTTATATATATACAAGGAACTCGTTAGGATAGTTTTTGAAATGGTTGTTAATTGCGAGAAATTGGAAGGAGATGCGTTTAAGAAAGTTACGGCACGCGCATTAGCAATAGGTGTTTCCAATGAAGCAAGAAGCTGGGTGATTGAATGCTTAGGATTTGGGGAATAACATGTATATAAGCCCGAGAATTGACCAAGGCTATGTATGGCAACTAATAAAGAGCGCAAATATCAAGGCTATGTCCGATCACATTTATGTGATTCTTGTATAATCAGAATATTCACCGACGACTAGATTTGTTGACGACTCTAACGGGTTGATAGCGTATTCCTCAAGGTATCGGATATAAGATTAAACTTTTATTTCATTTTGCGCACTCGATGTAACTTCATCCAGCCCATCTTGTTCGCTTTTATGAAGCAATAGTCACTTCAACGTCGACGCCTGGTTCTAGAGAGATCGAAGTCTGCCACAAAAAAAAAAGTCAACAACCATCCTAATTAAATTTGTTTTTTATCCTATCACAATTGCTACACTTACAATCTGCTTCACGATTTCACTAGGAGAATTCAAATCAATCAATCTCTTATGAATTCTCATCTCGTATCTGTCCCAAGTTTTACTGCCTTCACCACAAGGCGACTTTCTGGTAGTAATACGCAGAACTTTAGTAGGCAGTCGGACGGGTCCCTTTACTTGCAACTGTTTGTCCTTGGCACGATTGATTAGATCAGCGCACACTCTCTCGAGCGCTTTGACCCTGGGCGAAGTCAATGTAATGCGAATACGATGGTACTGGTTATTGAATTAAAATTTTGTGGTAAAAGTGAGATAGACTTGCTGACATTTCTTTCAGTGATGAACAGAAGAATTATTTACCTTGGGGGCTTCGTCGACATAATCGTCTTTGCCTTTAGCGACGTAACTCATGGTTGTGATATTAACCAATAGAGACAGCGGTGACTAAAGACGGGAAAGAGGAAGGTTCATTTATGACAGCAACATAGTTTATATACAACTGAAAAATTTTTTTGATGACCAATTATATTCTGAAAGAGGTATTAGTACAAAAAACGGGAATTTTTTTTTTACAAAAATTCATAGTAATTACACAGTCTCGATAAGTCGGCCAACTGGGTTTGACCTCTAATAGCCGAGAAAACTGACTTATCGAGAATCACATGATTAAGTCTTTTAATTAACCCTTTAATAATAATAATAATAATAATAATAATAATAATAATAATCACATCGTAAAATCGTAAAATAATCCTGCAGACTAGCTTGTTTTAGAGAATCGACTTGTTTTTTTTTCTTATCTGACGTTGCAAGTCTTTCATCCCTGATAATACAGAACTATTTACACTTAAAGTTCAACAAATTATGGATGCTTTCTAAAGCTATCTTGTCTGAAACTAATGAACAATTATCTTCTTCTGCTTCTTCATTCTCAGTTGTCTCCTGAATTGCCTTAATAATTTCGTCGTCATCAATGATCTGAGTTGCTTCCAACGTT